ACACACACACACACACACACACACACACACACACACACACACACAACTATAACAGTTTTTGCCTTAAACTACAATAATTTTAACATCTGTAAAATCAAACTAAAAAATACAAATTACTTCATGTCACAAAGAATTGTTTAATGAATTTATTTTTATCACAAAGAATTATTCTTCAGTTTCACAATGATGCAGGCTGTATCTGAAGCTGACACACAGCTGGTACACGTTTTTTTTTCTCTCCTTTTTCTCTGGAAATGTTGAAAAACACAAATACTGGATGTAGAAAATATTTGAATAAACCAGCCTGTCTGACAACATGACTATTTATGTTTACGATGCTCAATCATTACATTACTGTCTGTCATTAGTGAGTCTACATCATAATTTCTGAATTGTCTAACTAGTCAACAATCCAATAAAGTCCATATTTACATGTTTAATATCAGTAAATAATATATTTGACAACAGATAAAATCGATTTTATATAAGGTTAAACATGAACATTGAAACTTTTTAATGTTAGCATACAGGTTTTACAATTAAAATAATGGATTTTGGTTAAATATGTGTAATTTTTACCTGTGAAACATAACCTCTTTTGTAAACGTGTTGTAACAATCTATGTAGTTTATAGCAAAGTATTTGTACCATTTGTACATTTATAAAGCGTTTGTTTGCACCTCGCTACGTTCTGCTCATTGTTTTCAATGGTTAGCGTTAGCATTAGCTCAATGCATAAAAGTCCCCCTTGCGAAGCCACGCCCAGGTCACATGACACCCAATCCAGTGATATATATCAATGAGTGCAACGTTAATGGATGCAAGTTGGCGTTAAAATCTAAGGAAGAAGAAGTAAAATCTAGGTTCTTGTATGAAATCTTTTTTTTTTTATGATTTCAGGAACAGTTGACCCATGGAGGAAATGTCTCAAACAAAAACATCTTCATCTCTTCTGGTCGTTTCTTCAGACTCCCATAATCAAAGTATTCTGAGGAACTTTGACCGGCTCAGGAAAAGAGACCTCCTGTGTGACGTCACTCTCGTTGTGGAGAATGTGCGCTTCAAGGCACATAAAGCCCTGCTGGCAGCAAGCAGTGCGTACTTCTCCAACATGTTGACGGCAGAAGACCAGATCCATCAGTCCAAGTACCATCTGGATGGGATGACACCAATCATCTTTGCCACCGTACTGGAGTTCATCTACAACGCCCGAGTGTTGGTGGAGGACAGCACCACGGAGACTCTCCTGGCTGCAGCTCGTCTCATCGAGGTCAGTGAACTGGTCAGAGTCCTCACTGAACTCACGAGTTCTACAGAAGCCAAGCGAGACAACTCGAAAGTAAACAAAGCTGAGCTGCCGGATCTGCTGAAGCGCAAAAGAGGACGACCAAAGAAGGACATCCATGCGCTCTGTGAGAGTTCAGACCAGAGGCAGGCTGGAGAAACTGTAACGTCTAAAGACACGAAGGATTCTAACCCTGGAGCCGAGCAGAGACGTCACAGCAGACGCAAGATCAGAACTCCGGTGAAGTACAAGGGCTACAGAATCGAGCCTGATGCAGCAGAAAGCAAAGAGTCTGAAAGGAGGGACTGCCGAAAAAAGTATCCCAACACAGAGGCCCGATGTGAGGACTGTGGAAAAGTCTTCAAACACCACCTGTTTTTAAAGATTCATCGAAGGACTCACACTGGTAAATGCCTGAATGAGTCACACTGTTTTCATCTTTACTGTTTCCTCTGCACGTTTCTCGGACTAAATACTTCAGCTTACTTTCATAATTCAGCCGTGGGCATCCTGGTCCTTGTGTTGGAGCAGGGAAAAAGTAAAACATGCAGGACTGCAGTCCTCGAGGATCAGGATTGCCCATGCCTGATTTAACAATTCATATATCAGAACATTCAGCTTGTTCAGGTCTTTAGAGCTAAAAATTTAGTTTATTATATCAATTATAATTTTTTAAATATTGAACTGTATTTACATTTTTTAGAACTCTTTAATGACCTGAAGATCTTTGTTGCATCAGTTTTAGCCTCTGATTTTCCAGTTTTAGCATTTAAAGGGATCCATGATTAGTTATAACATTAGACTTTATTTGATAAACATTTATTTTAACTGTAAAATAAAGACTGTAAAAATACTGTAGGATGTTTAGTTTTTATCATTTTTAAAACAGACGGGGCCATTTTATTTACACTCAAAGCATTCTGGGTAAATGATGACGTGGATAGGTCCTCGGTGCGAGGCTGCTA